AGGGTGGTAAGGTTACTAAAGTCAATTGCATTATAGAAATCTTCATTAAAAAGTTTAGCAAAATATCTCATCCACCTTTGTTGAATATCCTTTTCTAATAAAAGCACTTTTTGATCTTCATCCTTAATACACTTCACTTTAACTAAATCCTTACTACTATTTCATTGTTTAGATAACTTATACATGTCTTTCGTCCTCCTTATTATCTAATCTATTATATAAATCATTAAAAGCTAAAATCTTTGCATTGAAAATTGCTTTCTTTGACTCTTTATGGGTCTTTTTATATATTTCCCAATTATCAGAGTTTTTACGGCTAAACTAATTTTTATAACAATTCATCTTATTTTTTTATCTTTTTTTGCACGTTTTGATTCCACCAACTATTTTTCTTAAAAGTAATTTTTCTCTTTGATACTCCAAGCACATCTTTTGCAGTATTCTTAATATCACTATCTACGATTTCCCACATAACATTAGCTTCCTCGTGCACAGACAAAATCTTAAGATCTAGAATTTTACTCTAAAAAATATTTTTATTAATATTCTTTAAATGCCCCCATCTAATTCTAGAACAACGATTTACTTTATTTTTAATTTTCTTTCGCTTCATCTTAAAATCCAAAACTAATAAGCGATGTTGGGTATATAAATTTTCACTCTGAATAATTTTACAATCTTTGCATTCTAAATGATCTATTTTTATTACAAGAAAATAATCAGTCTAATTTTTACTGTATCCATTCTTATAAGTGATGAGATGTTCATCTCTTTTCTTAAATAAAAAATTAGCAATTACAAAATCATAAGTTAAAGAAAAATCTAATATGATTTTATCATCTTCATTAATCGCTCCAAAGTCATGGTCAGCATGAATGTTTTTAAAATCATTTACCTCTTTATCAATATGTCTATTTTAATTTTCACTAAAAAGTCTTTCTTCAAGTGCCATCATTTGTATTAGTTCTTCTAGGTCATTTTCAAAATTTTAATTTTGAACACATATCTAAACGTATTATAATTATATTAACATGATAATTATTTTTCTCTACCCAAATAAAGGTAGAACTTGAAACACCAGCCATTTTATTGTCCACATAACAATTCGATTATATTTGATGTTTGGGCGAATCTTGAACTTATGTTACCTTATTTATTGTTTAGAATAGCTTATTTTATTCCATTTAAGTTATTTGAAAAAAATTGTATTAGTTTCATAAAATTTAAGGAGTTTTGCTAGTACCAATTACTTAATGTAGCACTAATTAAGATGAATAAAGTAAATTAATCAAGCTTGATCCATATATTTGAGACAAGGCTAATGATGAGTATGATGATAATAGTAACAAGTTTTTTTTTTAATAATTTTTTTAAGTTTTTTAAAATAATTCTATATACTTTTGCTCTAGTTTAGGTTATTAGAGTAATTCACTTATATCTTAATGAATCAATTGATATTTTCACATTTTCTTAGATATCTTTAATTGATGCATTAAATAAAATTTTTTGTAGCAAGAGTTGTTAGCATTGTTTAAAATTGCACAATACATGGCTCGCCTCAGCTCAATTCCAGTAAAAAATACCTCGAACTTTTTTGATGAGGCACACCTCGCCTTGTTTTTTTTTTTAATTGTTTTTTGACGAAAAATCTCGTTTTGTTAGTGTGAGGCATATGCCTCACTATTTATATATATATTTTTATTAAAACTTATCTAAATCCTTAACTAAAGCCTTGAACAAATTATGCCTTCATCCTCCCCAAGTCACAATTATACAGAGATATTATAAGCTATGAATTGAGTGATCAATATGAAGCATAATGTATGTAATGTCACACTCAACTAAGGAGTTGTTTGGATAAAGTGTAAAAGGAATGCATGAGTTTTTTTTTTTTTTTGAAATAAAATAAATGCATTGTAAAGCTTAAAGAGGGTGGTAGTCAGTGGCCGACAATGGCGGTGGTTGCCGGTGGCGGTGGTCGGCGATTGGGGCTGTAAACGAGTTGAGTCGAGTTCGCATTATGCTTAACTTGAGCTCAGCTTGTTGGCCAGATCACAAGCTCGAACTCAAGCTCAAATTTAGGGTGGTAATGTTACTAAAGTCAATTGCATTCTAGAAATCTTCATTAAAAAGTTTAGCAAAATATCTCATCCACCTTTGTTGAATATCCTTTTCTAATAAAAGCACTTTTTGATCTTCGTCCTTAAAACACTTCACTTGAACTAAATCCTTATTACTATTTCATTGTTTAGCTAACTTATACGTGTCTTTCATCCTCTTTATTATCTAATCTATTATATAAATTATTAAAAGCTAAAATATTTGCGTTGCAAATTGCTTTCTTTGACTATTTATGGGCCTTTTTATATCTTTCCCAATTATCAGAGTTTTTACGGCTAAACTAATTTTTATTACAATTCTTTTTATTTTTTTATCTTTTCTTGCACGTTTTGATTCTACAAACTATTTTTACTATTAGTAGTTTTTCTCTTTGATACTTCAAGCACATCTTTTGCAGTATTCTTAATATCACTATCTACGATTTCTCACATAACATTAGCTTCCTTGTACACAGATAAAATCTTAAGATCTAGAATTTTATTCTAAAAAATATTTTTATTAATATTCTTTAAATGCCCCCATCTAATTCTAGAACAACGATTTACTTTTTTTTTAATTTTCTATCATTTCTTCTTAAAATCCAAAACTAATAAGCGATATTGGGTATATAAATTTTCACTCGGAATAATTTTACAATCTTTGCATTCTAAATGATCTATTTTTCTTACAAGAAAATAATCAATCCGACTTTTACTATATCCATTCTTAAAAGTGATGAGATGTTCTCTTTTCTTAAATAAGAAATTAGCAATTACAAAATCATAAGTTAAAGAAAAATCTAATATGATTTTATCATCTTCATTAGTCGCTCCAAAGCCATGGCCATCATGAATGTTTTTAAAATCATTTAACTCTCTATCAATATGTCCATTTAAATTTCCACTGAAAACCCTTTCTTCAAGTCCTATCATTTGTATTTGTTCTTCTAGGTCATTTCAAAATTTTAATTTTGAACACATATCTAAACGTACTATAATTATATTAACATAATTATTTTTCTCTACCCAAATAAAGGTAGTTGAAACACCAGCCATTTCATTGTCCACGTAACAATTCGATTATATTTGATGTTTGGGCGAACCTTGAACTTATGTTATTTAGAATAGCATATTTTATTCCATTTAAGTTATTTGAAAAAAATTGAATTAGTTTCATAAAATTTAAGGAGGTTTGCTAGTACCAATTACTTAATGTAGCACTAAGATGAATAAAGTAAATTAATCAAGCTTGCTCCATATATTTGAGAAAAGGCTAATGATGAGTATGATGATAATAGTAACAAGTTTTTTTTTTTTTAAGTTTTTAAAAATAATTCTATATACTTTTGCTCTAGTTTAGTTTATTAGAGTAATTCACTTATATCTTAATGAATCAATTGATATTTTCACATTTTCTTAGATATCTTTAATTAATGCATTAAATAAAGTTTTTTGTAGCAAGAGTTGTTAGCATTGTTTAAAATTGCACAATAGGCTCGCCTTAGCTCAATTCCAGTAAAAAATACCTCGAACTTTTTTGATGAGGCACAACTCGCCTTGTTTTTTTTACTGTTTCTTGATGAAAAATCTCGCCTTGTTGGTGTGAGGCATATATATATATATTATTAAAACTTATCTAAATCCTTAACTAAAGCCTTGAACAAATTACGCCTTCATCCTCCCCAAGTCACAACAGCTTCCTCTCGATTGTCTGGACCTCTAATCAGCTGCCTCTATCGCAACCACTACCGTTGCACCCGCCATCGTCGATCACTTTGAAGCCTTACACCACCACCATCTCTAAAAATTTTGGAATATTATCTTCATCTTTATGTTGATGACAAACATTTATGAAAGATAAAAATGATTGAAATAAATGAATAAGAAGCAGATTGTGAGATATTAGACTTCACATGATGATGCAAGGAAGAGACCAAATAATTATGATGACTCAAATAAATGTGCCCTTGGTGATGACAATTCAAATGATTTCTTAGTAGTTTCCAACTATTTCAGTTTTTTTTTTAGAAATTAAATTTGGATGAATAGGGAATTGGGAAAGAAGGAATTTGTAGTTGATCTTGATATTATATGATAATTTTATGCAATTTGTATATTTTATGTTATTTTGTTTCTGTAATATTTAGATTTCAATTTTATTTCATAAGATTTATGACTTGTCACTTTACATCTTTTGCATTTTTTTTATTTTATATGTATGCTAATTTGTTACTTAATAGTTCAATAGAAAGTAATATATCATCCTTTAATATATTATTTGAGTATTATATAAAAATAAGTTTTAATCTTTATTTTCACTCTACAATTTTTTAATTTTGAGACTTACACCTGAAAATGTCTTTTAGGCTTACGCCCCACCTCACGAACGAAAAATGCCTCAAATACTCAATTGTGCAAATTTAAATCTTGATTGTTAGTAATAATTCAAGAACATTCCCATAAATGTAAAATGTCGTTTCAGTAGTCACAAAGAGAATGATTTGCTATTAATTCAAGTGTATATCTAAAGCATATATGAAAGCTAACCTATTACTCATGGCTGGTTGCAGATTTGCAGTATATATTTAACTGATATAATATCTGAGAATCTTGTATTCCTATCCATCATTATTCTAAAATCACCTCAGCTTCTATTATGCCTCTACCAAGTTATCATTTAGGCTTCATTTGGAATAGCTTTCTTACCGCTGCTTAAAACAGCTTTCTATTACAATAATTAAAATTTTTATATAAAAAACTGCTTTAAGAAGCCATAAAAAACCCGTGCCTTAATATCCTGATATTCATTCAGATGATTCATTGATTTTTATGATTGTTCTAATAGGAAGAGTAATTTAGATTGATTGTGATCCACCTTTCTGTCTTGATACGTTTGAGCAGGCTTTTCTTGCTGCCATTGCCATTATTATTGGAGCAACAAAGGGAGCTGAGGTATGGTGATTCACTCTCAGTTGCATCCATTTATACTTGTATTGTAACGAAACAAATAACAGGCCATTTATTCGGCAATCTCTAGACTGAGCTGGTTTGTCCCTTTGTACAATCGAAATGTCATTTTCTTCCCTATATTCTATGTTTTGTTTATATTTCTGCTCTTGTGGTTGAAAATATATTCTTATTTGTTCACCAAGCTGCTTATTTTCTTTGTACTTGAGCTGCTTCTCGTCTCTTGTTGGTGCTAATTTACTGCAAAACATGGACCTTAAGTGATGCTAATTTGCTTTGGTTGATGAAATTTGTTCAAACCATCAGTTGGATGCAATTATAAATTACTATGGATTGTAAATTCTACAAATCTCTGCAAATTTTCCTGTGTAAGATTATGAGGCTTTTTTAAAATATATCATATCATATGTAATAATGCAGATGATTTTTAGGATGAAATATATTTTTTATTTATCAAATTATGCTGTAGAATTACTTTTTTATATATATAAAATGAGCAAGAATAAATTTTTGCTTAAAAACTGAATTTTAACATTCAGAAGATCTTTAACAATTTTTAGATTTTATTATTCTTTACGTAGTCCAGTGTAGTCTATTGGCTTTTGTGGTCCTTAGCAGTCTAGCTTGTTGGTGAGGAAGTAAAAGGCAATCAAAAAAGCAAGAAAGTAAAATTAGTGGAAAGTAAAATAAATTAGGATATAATGAGGAAAAATTATAGAGCTATACCACATTAAGAAATTCATTATGAAAATTGGGAGAAATAAGTACACATCTTTATTTTTTTTACTCTCTTTGCTTCTTTTCTCTCCTATCGTTCTTATACTTTAAATAAAAGATAAAGACAAGTAAAATAACATCAAGGGATGTCACCCTTGAGAAACCCAAGAAAAAAAAGTCCAGTCCGCCTCACAGCGTTGCGGCGTCAATTTGAAGCGCTGCGGCAATCCACAACGTTGTGATGCTGAATCTAGAGTGTTAGATGCTCCACTCTATTTTTTTTCCTAGTAAGTTTTGGAGCTTCAGGGTACTTGGTAATAGCGTCGGGTTGCTCGTGTATATATCGCCGGAGTGCTTGAGCACATGGCACCTAGACGTTGTGGGGGTTTTGGGCACAGGCCCCCAAACGTTGTAAAAAAAAAAAAAAAAAAAAAAAAAAAGTGCAAAGCTCCCAAACCCAAGCTCGGAGAGGATACCTTGCACCCACCTAGCAAGTATGATAAATTAACTTGATGTTTGAGGCAACAGAATAATCCGATTGATCAACATAATCAGATTCTACACATAATTAACATAGTTGAGAAATGACTGTTAAAGGTTTAATTCATTAGGCTGAGATTTTGTATCAAATATCATATTGTATAAGAGTTCGAGTTGACCCGAACCCGGATTTTTCCGGATCGGGTTCTAGTCGTGTTTCGGGTTGTGTCAAAATTGACACCCCTATCTCAGGTAGATAATCTAAATAGCACCATTAAAGAAAGTAATCTAGAGCTCTTGGGGTAATATAATTAGCTCAACTCCATTGTGATGCAAGAGTTTATTAATTAAACTTAAAATCTTCTTGTGATGATAGAGCGAAGTTCTTATAGATTTTGATAATCAAATAGCATATTTATCCATATTAATATCAAGACCAATTGAAAGGTATTAAGTGTCAAAAATAAAAGAAAAATAGTTAATAGAATGAAGGTTCTTGAGAAAGATTATATTGTAGACAAAGATCAGCCAATAATCATTATATATTATAGAATGAAGGTTCTTGGGAATGAAGGCAATAGTTGAATGCTTAATGTAATGTGGGAGTTACTTATTGTGATGAATATCCTCAAAAAAAGAGTAGCCCATGATATTCCAAGTATCTTAAAAAAAAAAAAAAATAGATATGAAGTCGTTATGTTCAGGATTAATATTCTGTTCAGACGTCGAAAGCCGTCCGGAGACCAATCAGAACGGGCCACGTACCACGGCCCGGTACTGCTCGGTACCACTCGATACTGCTGGCGTGGGGTGCATTCTGAATGGTCTTCGGATGACATTTTACGTCTGGCCTCCGCACAGAATAATTTCTTCATATTTAGGGCAATTTTCATCTTCAATGCTAAGAAAGCCACTATAATCTTCTCATCCAAAAGAATTAGCAATAAAGGGGCAACAATAATCAGAAGGTAGAAATCACTAATTGTTAGCTCATTAGTGGAATAAGAGCTAGGGATGTCTCACCATTGAAGTGATTTGAAAATGCTGAATTGCTTCCAAATAAATCTCCTCCTAATTTCACACCATATCACCCATGGCAAATAATTCTTTAATAAAATTATAGTTCTTTTGTTTTTAATTTTTTGGAACACAAAGTTGATATCATCACCCGCTTAGAAAGCCAAGAACATTTAGCCCATTGCTTTAATCATTTATTCTAAAAAACAATTGCATTAATTAAGGACATTTGTGCACAGAGGGCTCTTAGAATAGAGAGATTATTCTGTGTAGTGTCCGAACGCATCCGGAGGTCAATTCAGACGTGTCATGTCATTCAATGCACTGTGCATTGGGTGACATGACATGTCCGAATTGATCTCCAGACACGTCCGAACACCGCACGTAATAATTTTTTTCTTAGAAGAAGCTTCGAATGAGGGTTCTTTTTCTTATACTGAATACTCTAATTGCCCATCTTTGATAATAGAAATAATAAAAAGAGGGACATCCAAGAGAAGTGTATTTCAAGTAATGACAATAAATATACATAAATTAAGGGCAATATAATTCTATGGCTGAAAGATTTTTCCTAAATTTTCTCAGGAAAATATTTATGTTAATGAATAGATCCAATAAAAAATTATATCATTAGCATCCATAAATTTACTCAACAAAATTTCCAAGAAAAAGATATGAAAGGCTCTTATAACAAGAATAACTGAAGTACTGCCAAGTGATTAAATTAGTTAACATAACTAATTGGTAATTAATTGATGATTATGAGGTTAAGCTATTTCGTTCGTCAAGTCATCCTCTTGAATCTTGAAAATCGATGTGTGGTCATCGGACTGTCCGGAAATGAATCATGATGCGAACGTCATCCAATACACAGTGATACATAACTGCAGTATATAACAAAATGATGATGTGATAAGTCGGGTGACTGCACAAAATAATTTCTCCTTGAAATTTGATTGCAAATGAAGAATTCGCACACGAATAAAGAGTTTTTCTGTGAAAAAAAGGGATTTGGGAGCAACAGAGCCACAAAACCTTCAACTGCTGAGAGCTTTATGGCTGAAAGCTTAGAACAATTTAATAATACAACTATGTAGTTTTGAATTTGTAAGAAATAAACAGAGAACTAAAGCATTTCCCGCGCGTCGCCTTCTTCTTCTTCTTGTCTACTGTTCTATATAAGCTCTTTCTCCCTTTGTTGCCAGCAAATTCCTCTATTCTCCCGAGAAATTTCATCTCCACTTCTTCCTTACAAAGATAATTGAGATTCTGCTAATCTCATCAAGTTTCTTGCTCACGTCGCCATGGCTTCTTCTCCAAGATCCACCTTTCTTTTGCACATCTCCCTCACCCTTCTCCTCCATTCTCAAACCTTGCCGAAAACGGCCTTCTCACAGAACCTCTTCTTTCACTTCCCTCCTTTCTCCAACAAGAATCTCGTCCTCCTCGGCAGCTCCAGCCTCCGGGACGGTTCGCTCTGCCTGACCAATGGCAGCCTTTCATCTTCAAGCTTCGGTGCGGCCATATTCCTTAATCCTGTCGCCATCATTCCCCTTGTTTCCTTCTCTACCAGCTTCTCCTTCTTGGTAACAAACCCTAACCAAGATCTCACATCTTCCAGTCGCAATGCCATCGCTTTCTTCTTGCTCCCCAACAGCTCCTTACCCGCTCTGTTCCAGTCCCTCGACGCCGTCAAGAACGCCTCTATCTTATTTCTGGAATTCCCCGTCTCAAGATATCTGAAAGCAGCAAGCGTCAATCATATAACGGCGAGAATCAGCATTCACTACAAGGAAGGCGGGATGGCGGTGAGGGTTTCAGCAGGAGAACCCCGCATCACGATTAAAGAAGAAAGCCAGATCTTAATCTCGAAGAATTTCGTCGAACACATCTATGCGGGTTTCTTCTCCTCAAACCAGAACAGTTCCGAGTCCCGTGTAATCCAAAGCTGGAGCCTTTCTTCTTCAATCTTCCATCGCAACAACCCACAAAGCACTTGGCGAATCAAACTTCAATCAACTAAAGCACTCAAGTACTCCCCTAGCAATACTCTCCTCATCCTCATCAGAGCAAGCACCCTTGCAATATCCGCCGCCGTCATCATCGTCGTCTGCTTCAACGTCAAGGAACAGTTCAGCCCAGACGCCCGAAAACGAAGGAGAGAAAGGCAGTTACTCCTAAAAGACTTCCGCAAATTCAAGTACAGCGAGATAGTAACAGGAACGAGGAATTTCAACGAGATAATTGGCTTCGGAGGAACCTCCAAAGTGTACAAAATGAACTTCCCCCTTTCTTCTTCCACCTTCTACGCAGTGAAACGCTTCAACACTGACAAGAAGAGCAGGAAAAGCTACCATAACGAGCTAGAAACAATGAGCCGTGTTCTCCATGAGAACATACTGGAACTCAAAGGTTGGTGCGACATGGACACGGGAGAGAACCTGCTCGTCTTCGACTACATGCCTCAAGGCTCCCTTCACTATGTCCTCCATTCACGAAAAAATCAACTCCTTCCCTGGACTCAGAGATATTCCATAGCAATCAAGCTAGCCACTGCACTGAAGCATCTCCATGAAGAATGCTCTCCTCACATAGTGCACGGTGACATCAAAGGAAGCAACATTCTGTTAGACGATGAGTACCAGCCGAAGTTGGGAGATTTCGGGATCTCGCTAAACGGGGCGCCATATAAAGCTGCTGGAGCGAGCAAGCAGTACTCAGCGCCGGAGTGTAAGCCGAAAAGTGATAATATGTGATGATGCAGTTGTTATGGCTAGAGATGATGTCAACAAGCACTAGCATTAATGTCAACGATATGCATCAACTTTATTGGAAATGACGTGTCTTGATATTCTTAATGATATGTGATGATGAATTTCATAGGCATTAATATTGGTGTCAATGGCTGTAATCGATCTAATTTATGATGATTTGTTTCATTGTTGTACATAATGGTGGGCGATAAAATTGGTGGTCGGGCATCAGCATTTGTATTAATAGAGGCATCGGTCTTAGGCTTTGTTTGGGATGGCTTCCTTACCGCTTCTTAAAGCATCTTTATAATACAAAATTAAAATTTTTGTACTAGAAAGCTGCTTTAAGAAGCGGTAAGACAGCCATCCCAAAAGAGAACTTATTAATAATGATGGATAATAAAGTTGACCGGCACTGACATCATTGCCAACAACATGCATTGAACTTATTCATAATTGCATGCAATGATGTTACTATGTAGAAGGCTATAGTGGTAGAGAGATGATTATTGGGTAGTGGTGGTCAAGCGAATTGGACAACAGTAGATGTTGATCATGATTTTTGGGGTCGATCATTAATTAAATAATGTTCTAAACCACGTTACATCTCTAAGCCCTCTCCTATTTCAAGTCTTTGTGAAGAATGAAGATTTATATAGAGTTTCTTTGGAGTATCATTTTGATAATTTTGGCTAAAATCAACAAACACTCCATTGGATGTTCCATGTTGATTCTTTTAATCATAGATCATTCATGAGGCATTTAACTTCCTAATAATCTCAAAATTGAGTGGTTTTTCAGTTCTATGGATTTCTCTCATCCAGACAATTGTTGTTAATCCAAGCACACAATGTTTGGAAATCAATTGCTGCGTCAAATGTCATGAGATAGCACACAATGTTTGGAAATCCATTGCTGCGTCAAATGTAATAAGATTTCTAACAAGACTTCAAGTGCTTGATTTGAGCTAAATTGGTCGCAGATCATAACACTTTTGATGTGATTGGGATCATCTTGTTGAAACATTCCCGAATTTATGTTAACATAGTCCGACAACACATTATACCTCCACTACCTGCAACAGAAAACTACCCACATGGCTCCCAGCTTGCACGTTCTCTAATGATAGCTTTCTGTTATTACTTTATGATAAATAGGAGTACTGTAGCAAATGAAACCAAGCAATGAGAAAATGAGCCAAAACATCTTCTTCTCCAACTATCCTTTCTCTGTTCATTTCTAACATTCCTTGCAGGTACTTTTCATGGTATCAGAGCAGTTGTAAGCCTCACGGCTAATCTTTTCGCTGCGGTATCTGGCGTGGCACAATGGAATCTGGCAGTTCATCAACTTCGGCGTCGAGTACCACCGAATCTACGCAGTTTCTCGGCACAGTTCTCATACCGCCCCAGCTGAAATTTTTGATGTCTACGATCAAGAACGTCATTACCATTCAGCTCACTCTGGAAAACCACCTAACCTGGAAGTCACAGATTCTGAAGGTGTTTCGTGCTAATTCCTTTGAAGGATATCTTGACGGCACCACTCCCTGCCCTCCCCGGCAAATTACTTCAACTACTGGTACACTGATATCTAATCCACTCTTTTCTACCTGGATGCTTATTGATCAAAACTTAGCCACCGCATTATTTTCTACAATCTCGGCACCTCTACTGTCCTATGTTCTGAACTTGGAATCCTGCTCCGAGATTTGGCAAACGATTGGGAAACTACTGCAATCGTCTAATAGATCCCGTATTCTTCAGATTAAAAATGATATGAATTTCATTTCAATGGCTAACAAGACAATGCAGCAATATTTGACTGAAATTAAGCAAAAGGTTGATGCTCTCACTATCGCCAGCTACAATCTGGATTCTGAAGATATTATTATGTACACACTTAATGGTTTACCAGCATCATATCAAGGGTTTAAGACCGCTATTCGGACGAATCTTCAGCCATTGAATCTAGATGATTTCTATTCTTTACTGTGTAGTGAAGAGACAAACCTTGAGAATGAAGTTGCTCGATCGCTTCGTTCGGTCCAGATTTCCGAAACCCCTGTTGCACTAGCTGCTACATCTTCGCGTGGCTCATCCAGCCATTTTGCTCTCAGCGTGGCCGTGGCCGATTCAGCAGCTCTCGCGGTGGTCGACCTGCATTTCCCCATATTGAATGTCAAGCATTCAGCTGAAAAGTGTTGGCATCGCACTAATCTTAATTACATTAAACAAAATCCAACTGCATTTGTAGCTGATTCAACCGAGAATTCTGCATCTGTTTTATCTGGACAGATGTCTGACTGATTGTTGGACACCGGAGCAACTTCATACATCACAAATGATCCCAGTCAACTTCTTACGTCTTAACCATATAATGGCTCTCAGCAAATACAGGTAGGCAATGGTCAGTCTCTACCCATATCTCACATGGGTCAAGGACTTCTCCCTACTCCTAAACGTAAGCTATCTTTATCCCCACTTCTCCATGTTCCTCAAGTTTCTCATAATTTGCTTTCCATTCATCGTTTAACATCTGATAATGACTGTACTATTTCTTTCACTCCTCATGGTTATCATATAAAGGATTGGAAAACCAATCGCTCGATTCTCTCGGGTTCATGCCGTGATGGACTTTATTCAGTTCCGATCAAAACCAGTCCATCCTCACAAGCTCTTGTCACCACTATCAGCTCGTCTACATGGCATTCCAGACTGGGACACCTGCATCCAGCAGTCTTATCTCGTATACCATCTAGTTTTCCTTCTTTACAAATTTCTGTAACTAGAAATGTCTGTTATTCCTGTCAAACTGCTAAAAGTCATAGGTTACCTTTTGTTAGTTCAAGTTCTCATTGTAATTCTCCCTTTCAAGTTGTTGTCTCGGATGTATGGGGACCTTCTCCAGTTTTGTCTCTTAATGGATATCGATATAATGTGTTATTTGTGGATGAATTTTCTCGGTTTTCATGGCTTTATCTAATGGTGACAAAAGCTGAGGTTTTATCTAAATTTACCTTGTTCAAAGCCATGGTTGAAAAACAATTCTCTACTCATATTAAAATTTTTCGATCGGATGGCAGAGGTGAATACACTAGCACTTAATTTCAACACCTTCTCTCCACAAATGAAATTTTACACCAATTTAGTTTCCCTCATACTCCGCAACAGAATGGGCTGGCAGAGCGCAAACATAGGCATATCATTGAGACTGCTCGTACACTGTTAATACAAGCCCATTTACCCACTTCTTTTTGGATTAAATCTGTCTTAACAGCGGTCTATTTAATTAACCGTCTTCCTTCTCCTATCACCAAATATATCTCTCCATTTCAATGTCTTTACAAGAAATCACCATCATATTCTCATCTTAAAGTTTTGGGTTGCTTGTGTTTCCCTTGGCTTCAACCTAATGTTCCTCACAAATTCGCCCCTAAATCTTCCGCTTGTATTTTCATTGGATATAGTTCCAATCATAAAGGTTTTCGCTGTTATAATTTGAAAACTTCTAAAATACTCATCTCCCGCCACGTTCAATTTCATGAACATATATTCCTTTTCCAAAAATCTACCTCAGCACCTTCAATTCCTACTACATCTCCACCCACCGCTATCATATCTCCTTTAACCCTGGTTCCTCATACTACTACTACTTCATCAGCCAACTCAAATATCACTCCAGAAAATCCATCTCCTCATGTGCCCGAGCCAGTTTCATCTCCCTCTTCTTCAGCCAACCCAGTTACTTATTCTCCACCTTCCCCAACTCGTCCTACTCGGCATCCTATGGTGACCAGATTGCAAACCGGTAAACTGAAGCCTAAAATAGTGTTTAATATCCAACACATTGTGGTTGAAGATCCTGATCCCACTTGTTTCACTATGGCCAGTAAACATAACTGTTGGAGAGATGCTATGTCAGTTGAATTTCAGGCATTACAACAACAGGGCACTTGGGAATTGGTTTAGCCGCCGAAGTCTCAAACAATCCTTGGGTGTAAATGGATTTACAAAACCAAGAGGAATTCTGACGGGATGATAGCTCGCTATAAAGCTCGTCTAGTTGCCCAAGGCTATCGACAAGAATATGACATTGATTATACGGAGACATTTAGCCCAGTTGCGAAGTTACCTACTATTCGTCTGTTTATCACGACTGCAGTCATCCGAACCTGGTCCATACTTCAATTAGATGTTTCAAACGCTTTTCTTCATGGGGATCTAAAAGAAGTGTTGTATATGCATAAGCCGCCAGGTTTTAAAGACCCTAAATATCCAGATTTTGTATGTCGCTTACATAAAGCAATCTATGGGCTTAAGCAGTCTCCGCGACAATGGTTTTCCAAATTAACTACACATATGCAGTCTTGGGGTTTTCGACACAGCGATGCCGATCCTTCCCTCCTTGTGTATAACCACAATTCACATCTCATATATTTTTTAATATATGTAGATGACATTTTAGTGAATGGCAACAATCCAAATCTTATTGCTGACCTTTTGCTTCATCTCCAGCACCAATTCCAGCTCCGCAACTTGGGCACTCTTTCTTACTTCCTTGGAATTCAGGTAGTGTCTGTCACAACCCGACCCGAGACGGATCCTGCCCGCACCGGGCCGCGACCAGCCAAACAAACAGACAGACCAGGATCTGGCTTTGGAATTTGCTTCGAAACTGGTTCTTCCAAATATTTCAACTCAATAACAGACACACAGAGCTACTATGAAACATCAAATGCAGCGGAACAAATCATCTATATTTTTTTTTCCTCAAAACAATCATCTACAAATACAGTACATGGCTGACAGAAAGAACAAAGAAGAAAAACCATGACTGTACAAAAATCAAAAAGTACAAAATACCTATAACTGATCAGACTCTGAACTCTAGTCCAAGATCTTCTTCCCTTTCCCAGAACCTGAAAACCACACAGAAAACAAGGGTGAGCTCAACAGCTCAGCAAAGCGACAAACCTCCAATCAAAACTTTCAGAATCCAAA